GAATCTCTCTGGGTCACAAAACTGGTCCACCATTTTTCCTTTGCTCTTCAGCTCACAAGGTCACCTTTTCCAAAGACATGAAGTGACAAAGGAAGATTAGGTCATGACAGATGACCATAGAGGTTTTTTTTCTTTATGGTTATTTTTTCCCATTGAATTGCATTGGGTTGCATTGCGTTGCTTTTTTGATGCGTTTTTGATGCGTTCCAGAGCAGATCCAGAGCAGGTAAAATAGGGCTTGCCGCAGTTTTTTCACCTGCTCTGGATCTGGTCTGGATCCGCACGCTGCGATGTGAACTGGAGGTCAAAATACCATAGGAATATATTGGACGCAGTTTTGATCCGGTCTGCACCTGCTCTGGTCTGGATCTGCTCCGCGCTTGGTGTGAACAAGGCCTTACACCACATCTCCCACAAATAATACCCTCAATCTAAATCTATGGTCATGTAAAGTGCTGGTTTATGAGTCTTCTTTCTTCCTTGCTGCATAAGGGGAGGGTCCTTCTTTGGATGTCATCACTGCCTGGTGGTGTGCACATTTCCGACGGGATGTCCACTGACAAGGTCTTTAAAAGGTCCTGCAGACTCATGTGACGTCACGTTAAAAGTTGGCGGCAAGACAGGCTGGTAGAGGAACCAAACCAAAGAGTTGGATTACAGGTCTTTGCTAGCAGATGTGGCGCTGCCAATGGACACGTTAGTGGAATCTGGTATGAAGATTCCACTAACTAATTTTTTAATGATGATTGGGAGGGGTGGGGGAATTTTCTTTTGCTTGGAGATGGGTTTTAAGCATCCAGATGAAAACAGGAAACACTGTTTATGTTGGCAAGCCTTCAGATTTTAATTCAGGCATTGTTGTAGCACATTAGTTATCCTACATCCATTTGTTGGTGACCTAAGGACCCCTTTTATACATCTATTTCTGATGAAGAAAAGGTGTTCTCAAACACACCCACTGCATGCTCCTTGTTGTCTCTCTCAGACAGAATGCTTGCTGTACCCAAGTGTCAGTAAAATGAAGTTTCTTGCAGCCAGCAGTCAGGTTTAGGCCTTTCTTGGAAGATGGAGTGTAATAGATGATACAGCATGCAAAGAAAGAGGAAGTTACAACAAGGGGCTGGCATTAGGGAGTAGATCCATCCACCACATATGTAAGTGGCTCCGTGATTTCTGGCTGCAGGTGTACTACACAGAATTCAGAGTAAGGTAAAGTGAGTGTGCTTCCTGATTTTAACACAGTTTCTGGAGATCATTAGCAGTTTGACTTCTGATCGGCTTCACTTTTTTCCTTAAAATTCTGTTGTAAAAGTCTCCATACAAAAGCTAACACCCCTACAAATTGTTTTTGGATTTTTAAAAATTATTTTCTTTTTTACTTAATAGAGTATAATGTCCAGTGGATCGGACTTGTTTTTACAGCACACCCCACAGATGCTCGATTCGATTGGGATCTGGAGAATATGGAGGCCAACTCGACACCTTGAACTGGTTGTTCTGTTCCCCAAACCATTCTTGCAGTGTGTTAAGGTCTGAGGCGTAACTAGAACCTTCAGGGCCCCGGTGCAAGAAAACCATAAAGGGTCCCCCCCCCTCCCCCCCCCGGGATTTTGATACCTTTTTTCCC